TCCCAGGTAGACTGGAAAGGCAGGCACGCAATTCTAGAAGGAAGGGGAAATCACTTCAGCACTGCTACATAAATAAAAGTGAACGAGTCAGTGACCGTCTCTACTGAAACAAGCGTGAACCTCAAGAACGTGGAAAAACAACCACTGAACCACGCGGTACAAATAACCATGGAAACAAAGACGAAAAAACACTTTTTCTTTCCTTTCACCGCGTTTAAAAAAAGGGGGGGGGAAAGGCGAACGAACCACTCAGACTGCGTTCTCTCCCTCCGACCTCTCCGCCAAGAAGAGGCGGAACGGTCATCAATAGCGGGCGGCAGCCACCAAAAGAGGCACCGCCCGCTCGCTTCGCGCTCAGAAGAGAACACTTCGCCTCTTCCTCGTGGTTCGTTCGGCCAATCACTTTCGAGTGCATTTCTCCAGTTAGATACTATAGAAATGATCCCTGAAAGTATAGTCTTAACTTCCACTTCCGCGCCTCCGCGGCCTCACCCGCGCCCACCCATCTTCATGTCACAGGGACCGCGCCTCTAACCGCAAACGCTGCTCCGCGGCCTTCGTTCCCGCGACAGCGAGTAACAAACCTGTAACATCCCCGAGAGAATTTCTTTAGGAAAACGCTGTTCCGTCGCCTACACTCTTAGCGATCCGCGCTAGACCATCAGCCACCTGGTTTGCGATTTGCATCGGGGGACAGGACAACCAATCACGCTCCGCCCAGAGGAGGGGCTTCCTTTCCTCAGGGGCTCAGCGATGATCCAGTCCCGGAAGAGGCGGATCCCGCAGGTGTCACTCTCTTGAAAGAACGCTCTGTTAACTACTTCGCCGCCGAAGGCGCTCCTGGTCTCCGAGAATTCCTTTCGGATCAGACCGGCGACTGCAAGGAACGAGCTAGGTCCCGCTCCAGTTGCTAAGTGTTCGTCCTACGCACGTGGATTTTGGAATAAACGCCCTTGAGCGTGTGAGACAGTAAGGGAGGTGAATATGTGTAGCTCAGGGTTGAACTGCGGAATCCTTGGGGTTCTCTGAGCTTGGTTCTTTTCTTGCAAACATAGTTTGCAAGGTAACCTAGCTGGGTAATGAAACGTTTGCAAGAAAAGAACCAAGCTCAGAGAACCCCAAGGATTCCGCAATGTGAGACAGTATTGCAAAGCCTTCCACCCACTGGAAGGAAATAAGAATTCGGTGCAATCCGGATTAGCATCCTGGATCAGGAAAACCAGCCACTCTTACACCCTTTACAGCACTTTGATTCATACATTGCCTTAAGCCAGTGTTTTTCAAACTTGGCAACTTTCAGGTGTGTGGACTTCAACTCCCAGAATTCCCCAGCCAGCATGCTTGTTTGAAAAAATACTATAGTGCCTTAAACCATCATCATGTTTCATTTTCACTAGCACTACAGTTTGTACAATGTTTGTGGCTGCACGGTTTTGGTTGGGATGCTGCCCACCTTTGTGCATGACTACTTTTCCTGTTTTGTTTGTGTCACAAACACTGGCTAAAAATCGTCATCAACTGAGGAAGACAGTAATCCTTCTCTCTGCCAGGTCTGGGAACCTGTGAGGTGAAAACTGAGCAACAGCAGAGATCATACTGGTGAATCAGCTGTGCTCTTTGGCTGTTCCTGCAAATCACCTTAATTTCCAGAAGAACGAGCAGGTGGCTTGTGGGATTCCTGCCTGGTGCGGTGGGTTGGACTAGAGGACCTCTGATGCTCCTTCCACTCACGCACCCTACTATTCTACGACTAATGGCAGCTCTACTGGAACTGGTTCAGACAACAAACAGGACCATGATTAAGACAGCCTGAGCTACAACATGGCATTGTCACAAACTATGGTTAAGCCCTTAAAGACAATCTGGCCCTCAACAACCGGATGGCAACCAACAGCTGGAGCTGCCAAAGGCAGTGCAACAGCCCAGCACAGACTGACACTGATTAACGTGGGGGTATCTTTTGGGGAGGGCCTTCTGAGGTTCCTTTGTGCCGGTGAGTTTCGAAAACAGGAAATCCAGTTTGTGGAAAAAGCAAAAATCGTGTCATTGGCTCGCTGCCTGTTCATACAATAGCTTAAAGCAAAATCTAGAACTGACCTCGTCTGCTTCATACCAAATTCATGACAACTTGGCCTTGGTTGACTTCAAAAAAACAAGCCAGGGCCAGGTTTGGCTTAAGGTTGGAGGGGAGAACATCACCCCAAAGCTATAAACTAGTCTGGTGAACTGAAAAAATTCTCCAGAAGGAGGCCGCATAAACCACTTCCAACCAGCTGTCACACAAATTGCATGGCCATGTCTCTAAACCCACCAGATTTAATCTACATTCTATTAAATCTATATTAAATCCCTTTTCTTCAATCCCAAGGGTCAAAGAACAGGTGAGATTGCCGACTCTCCGGACAAAGACAGATCCCGCATATCCAGAAAAGAGGTTAACTTCTGCTACCCACTGAAACTCTTCTCTGATCAGTCCTACAGAGTTGTGAAAAGATCCTGCAGACATATTAATATTAATACAAGCACATTTGTTTCAGACAGAACAGAAACGGATGTACTGCAGGTCCGAGGAATCCTATTACTCAGCATCATTAAAACCCAACGGCCTGGCCTGCAGGAGTTGGAAGATGAACATCAGACTTGCAAACTGCCTTTTCAAACAGATTCGGCTTGTTTTTAACCCTGGATTGCAGAATGAGATACTACAGGTAGAGGCACCCAGCTGGGTTTGGCTGGGCTCCAAAGCTAAGCAAGTTTGGGACCGGTTATGATGTGGAAGGGCGACCAGCACTGTCTGGGATGTCCAGAAAGGAATTCTGGGTCGGTGGCAAAACACTTCTGACCTCCGCTGGGTAACTATCCCCAAAGTAAGATTATTAGAGAGGAAAAACCAGGTTATAATTGGACGCTATCAACATCATCCCTGAAAGTCTCCGCAACTTTGTCCTAGGCCAGTGTTTCTCAACCTCAGCGGCTTTAAGACGTGTGGACTTCAACTCCCAGAGTTCCCCCCCCAGCCTTG